TATATATATATATATATATATATATATATATATATATATAATATATATACATATATTACTATAAATGTGGAAAATTTTAAAGATCCTTTCTCAGTTTCTTTACACTGGAATCTCTTTTCCATTACTCAAGGCTTTCTTGGTACTTCATAATTAATTTTTTTTTTTTTTTTAACATAATACTTTTTTTAATTTTCTTTCAATTTTCTGTTTTTTTCACCAAATTAATTTGATTTTTAAATCAGAAAGAGGTTCTTGAATTTTTTTTAGAATTTTCATAATCAGTAGATGAGAGTTTGTAATCCTAAATTTATTTAATTAAAATCACTAACACTGATTTTCAAGTATTAAAAAATGTATTGCTTCTAAAATTAAATAGTTTTTTTAATTAAAACATTTTAGCATTAAAAATATTTAGTTTTAAATTTATTATTGCTTGTTTCGCCAACCACCAGATTATTGAATTGATATGTAACCATGGAATTAAAACAATGCCCAAAGTTAAGATTTCAAATTTGTGTCAAAATATTTCCAAAATGATAAAAAAAGATTTTTAAAAATTTATTTTTTAAAAAGTTTAATATTAAATCTATTTTTGAAAAAAGAAAAAAAAATCTTTTATTAGTTATTAAAAATAAATTTTGCTAATTAAATAGATAAAGATATAGTTCCCCTTAAAATTTTGTTTTTTTGATCAAAATTTCAAATTACCACTTGAAAGGTTACCAGTTAAAAAGTTACCATTTAAAAGCGATTTCAAAGCACGAAAATTATTTTAAACAAAGGAAGAAAAATAAAAGAATCTGATTCTTGCTTTTAAATGTTTTGCATGAACACAGCAAATACCATTTTAAATGTTTTCTATGAACACAAATACCATTTGAATTATCTTGTATAAAGTTCTTATTTTATTTAAATAGCAATATCCACATTTTACAGAACAAAACACTTAAAAAATTTCTAGTTTTACTAATTATAATATCAGTAAAGTATTTATAATTTCTGGATTTTCTATTGTTCAGTTAACATTATAAAGATATTTTTCAACACAAATTATTGTTTTTGCAATTAACTGTTTGGTGATAAAAATTCGTTTTTCTACATTCTCAAAAATTACTCATTAATTTTTCTACATTCTTTTACATTCATCTTTGTTTTAAATCTACCATTGTTACACATTAAATGTCAATGCTGATAAAAACCAACTCTTTTTATTACAAAATGTAACACTAGTTTGTTTGCTTTAAGTTACATACTGTTTTAAAATGTAGCCTTTATATATTTATGGGCCTTCAGATCAAGTATATATGGTAATATTCCTCTTAAATAGAACTTTTTATGAAAAATCCTCCCACTAAAAATAACATTATTTCATCAATTGTCATGGGCCAATGAATCCTTGAAGACATCTATAAAAAAAAAAGCAAATTTTAAATTCTGTATTACTCTTATGTATTGAGCTAGATTTCATCCAAAAAAGTTTAGTTGTTTTTATGTCAGTAAGTAACAAACATTTAAACACACAAAATTTCCAACTTATAATACTATTAGGACTTGATAAACCAATTTTTTAAAATCCTAATATAATATACATTGATGGCCAAAAGTGTGTATCCACCCCCAAAAAAATGAGTTTTTAAAAATTTTATCATAAAACCTTTTATGTAAACATTGACATAAATGTGTGTAAATTAAGTTGCAACAATATTTTCAATAGTTTTAATATTTCCTTTAAAGAGGTGGTAAATAATCTGGGATTATTTACCACCATTCTTTTTATCAAATTTTCACCTCTTTTGTTAATAATTTTTGGTCGACCGGATTTTTTGCAAGTCTAAACAGCTATCTTTTCCTTTTTTAATATATATTTGAACAGTTTGCTTACATACACCAACTTTTTCAGCAATTTGTCTTTGACTAAAACCTTCTTTACAAAGTGCATATATTGCACCACGTTTTTTTTGTTCTAAATTACCCATTGCAGCATCAAAATAAAATAAATCTCACTTATATTATTTCGCATATATTTTGAATTATATTATTATTATCCTTAAAAACCAAAAAAAAAAAATAAAAAACCTTCAAAAATTAAAAAAATTGGTTTTGAATATTTAAAAAAGAAATTGTTGATGGATACACACTTTTGGCCACTAGTGTAAGTACTACAAAAACAGATAAAAAGCAAGATAATAATCCAAATGGTAATAAACTAATAAAAAGTTATTAATTACATCTAATACATAATAGCTGCTAAGTGAAATAATTCTGTGATTTTCTTTATAGGAAAAATACTAAATTCAATTTGTTTATATTGTATATTGTTTATATTCAATTTGAGTAATAATTTTTAATAAGCAATATTTCTCATTTTTTTACAATTAGGGTTATGCAAAATAACAATTGGATGATTTTAAAAATTCATACCTTTGATTGCAGTTAAGATGGAGTTAGATGCAAACTTTTGATGTGATGAATTTGATCACTATAAATAAAGTTCATAAAT